TATCCCACCGGCACCGAGGGGCGCTCTGTTGCTGTGAATTGGTATTGAAACCAACAAGCTTAGGATTGACGAATTTGTCTCCATATCTGTCAAATACGCGGTCGGAACTTGTGAATTTCATATATGAGCAGGTGAAAGCACTGTTTAGGTATTACTTTTTGTTTTTCACTTCAACGAATTATGTGAAGTACTCCCCAGTCCTCAATATAAAACATATTTAACTAATTTGATTAGATTAAGAAAGTTAGGTAAATTAGTTAATTATAAAAATATGACATATTTTTCCTAAAACATCATAATTATCTTCTTTAATATTCTTCCTGTCTCATTTACTTAATTATAGTTGAGAAAGTATTCATAAGGGCAATTTAGAAAAAATTAATAAATATGATAAATAGGTCTTATATTTAGGACTAAAATTAACTTAACAATTAGATCATATATTAAGGACCGGAAGAATACTATTTTGACAATGGCCCAGTCTAGTTATATTTTGCCTAGTAGTTTCTCTTGTCTTTCTCTCGGCAATCGTTTCCCTAAAAGTCGAATTTATGACTTTAGTTGTAATACTTAAATGCACTCGAAGCACCACATTTGACTGTGATTTGCCCTGCACCTAAATCCGTTACGGGACAATTACTGTGATGTTTTGATCGGTTAGATTTTCTGTCAAAGACCAATTTACAGATATGAGATACCCTAGACATGCGTTTAAAATATTTTCCAGCAGATAACCGCTAGACCCACTGTGGCCACTGAAAGCTACATGAGAAGGAAGGGGTTAAAATGAGGTCACGGAACATAAAGATTGACAGGAACGTTTTAGAACCTTCACAAATCGAACCTTGTCAATTATCTGCTGCCCTCATTAACTTAAAGGACAAGATACACAGTGGTCCTGCTGAGCAATTTGTTTGCTTCCCCCGCTTAGATGTTGATGGATTGAATTTTTGCAACCTCTTGTTATGTTTTTGCATATCTAAATTGCAGTTCTGGCATGGGCACTCGTGTTATTCTTCAAGGAATCTTAGAGCAAATCGGTGTTAAAACTTGTCTCTTCTGCTTTGAAAGTTCCCAGAACAACAGCAGCTGCTTAAGCTAATAAACCCTGTTTAGGTACCATCAGAACTAAGAAAAATTGATTTTTCAATTAAGGCAAAAATTATGATTGAGGTTTCTGTTAGACTGTGAGACATGAAAAACCAAATTGCTGATTCTCTGCCATACATAAACCCTTTTAATATTACTCTTCCGGTCTTTAATATAGGACCTAATTGTTAAGTTAATTTTGGTCTTAAATATAAGACATATTTCTCATATTTATCAATTTTTTTCTAAATTACCCATATAGATACTCCCTCAATCATAATCAAGTAAGTGAGAGAGGGAGGATATTAAGAAAAATGATTATGGTGTTTTAGGAAATACATGTCATATTTTTTATAATTAACTAACTTGTCTAACTTCCTTAATCTAATCAAATTAGTCAAAAAAGTCTTATATTAAGGATCGAAGGAGTGATAATTAATTATCTACGTAAAGATCTTAGTTTCACATGTTCTTATCAGCCTATTTGATTCATTTCTTGGTTACATTGTGTGGGGGAAGGAGGGAGGGAGGCCTTGATATACAATGATATTACTTGTAAATTAGTCTTCACTATGGATTGGAACTTTTTGTCATGTTCCAATTTGCTCATAGTCAAAACAGTGTTGTTTTGTGTTTTAGTCTTTCCCTTCTCTGTCTGGCTGGGTGACATCTTTACCGGGCGGAATGGCCACAAGTCCTACCCTGGACCAGAGATAAACTCATAAGAGCATTTCATAAATTCATATTGCCCACAATCTCTCGTATGATTGCCTAAAAAGAATGAGTCATTATTAACAAATTTTGATGGTTGAGGTCATTTTGTTGATGATCTAAACATGTAAAAAAAAAAGAAAATTTCCAAATAATCGTATTTGTTCTTCACGTAAAGATAATGCATCTTGCTATAGGGCTAACCCGCTCTGATCAAGCAAGTTCCTTCTTCATGGCTCTGGGCCACTTTATAATTAATTTGGTTGAAACTTTTGCTGACACGAAAGTTTGACCCTGACGCTCATAACTTTACCACCTCAAAAGGAAAAGAAGAGGATGACTTTATACTTTTTCCAGGGACATCTGACATTGTGTCCCCATGATAGTCTGTGACATTAACTAGGATGGGACCAAAAGTACCTTCACTGCTCACTCTCTGATCTTTTCGACTTTTCCTTTTCCTCCATAACTTGATCAGATCTTTCTCTGCCTTGTGTCTTGGAACAAGGAAGCTCTCAGCCTACTTCTCAGCATGAATCACTGATGAATGATGATAATATCTCGGCTTGATTGTCAAAAAATAGTTGTTTTCTCAAAGTATTTATGGTATTCATGTGTAATGTGTAGTGTTGAGTTGTTGATGCTTGCTGTGATAAGAACGGGATTGAGAATAAGATGCAGCCACATGGAAATTGCCTACCTGATAGGCTTTAGTGCCAAAAGAATCTATTCATCCACCTTCACCACAATGTGTTGTGTTTGATAGAGTGGTGCTTTGATCCATGTTGAGCCCACCCTTACTGAGTGAAATGACAAATAAACACTGAGAAAACAGTGAGTGGAGGGTCAATTTTTTGTCACCTGATTCTGAATAATACAAACCGAAATTGGCCAACATCCCATCATTTTGGATTTTCCATGAAATCCCTTTTTCAGACATATTTTGTTTCATGGGGGTATTCCAGCTTATAGAGATCCTATATCTTCACTACTAACTCGGAGTGGATTAATTTTCATTCTTAAAATATACTCCTCCGGTCCTTAATATAGGACACAATTCTTAAGTTGGTTTTAGTCCTAAATATAAGACCCATTTCTCATATTTATTAATTTTCTCTAAATTACCCCTATAGATATTCTCTCACCCATAATCAAGTAGAAGTGGGAGAGGAGGTATTAAGAAAGATGATTATGGTATTTTGGGAAAAATGTGTCACTTTTCTTATAATTAACTAACTTACCTAACTTCCTTAATCTAATCAAATTAGTTAAATGGGTCTTATATTAAGGACCGGAGGAGTACATTATTTTTACAAATATTCATTGATTTAAATCCATGTAAATAAAGAAAATATATCTGGGAGAATTACTCCTAGTTAGGATCAACAATGCTCAAATCTGATCCAACCAAATAGTCATATAAAAAAAAAAAAAACCACAATAGTTTGAGTATGCATAAGTGGACGGAATTCAAATCCAATTTCAATATAATTTTAGATACCAAATGGTTCATCGTCAGAAAATAAAAAAGAATTATTTTAAATTTTTATTCTTGTTCACGAAAAGGTATCCAATTTTTTATATTAATGTGCAATGAGCTAATTCATAATTAATAGAAATAATATAAAAGTGGCGTTGCCTAGTCTGAGGATGATTTAAATGCTCAGCGCTCAAGAGACGTATTATTTGTAACTTATTTATCCATCGAAGTAACATAACTTATTTTATATTTTATGGCATGGAGGAAAAAACATATACGTAATACTCTTCCAGTCCTAAATATAAGATTTTCTATAGTGTAAATTACACTATAAAAGTAGTCTTATATTTAGGACAAGAGGAGTATGTTATAACAATGAGTATTATTACCGTTGAAAATAATCATAGCCCTCCTGTGGAACCAATCTTTCTTAGCCGCATCTCATTGTAACACAAGGACGACACACAGATGCAAACTTTAGAAATTTATGAGAGAGACCCAAATTAACATCTTGTTAAGGATTTCAAATTCTTCATGCTCTCAACACATTACATTAGACTTTTATATAAAACCTATATTAACTAGGTGATGATCGACAGTTTAATCTTTTCAACAAAGTTATGATTTCCATGAGAGAGAACAAAATATTTTAATTTTTTTATATTCATTAAAAAAAATCGAAGGTTGGTTTTTTTAATAAAAAAAATATTTTTGCCATGTTGTTGTTAAGCAAGAATGTTACTGGCCTGATACGAAAGGGAACTAAGCTCTAATGGCGACAGCGTCATGTCACCAAAGAAGAATAATGTGTTGCCCTTTTTAAATAGATTTTGATTGGCTTCATAATTAATCATAATTTGTTGTAACTATGTTCTGTTCTGTATGTAATTAAAGATTCCTCAATAGTTCAAACGTAACATCAACACATTGCCTCACGAAAATCCCCATATTAGTCCATGACGTACCCAATTTGACTTTATTTTATCTCTTCCTTGCTTTAGCTATTTCATGCCCAAATTATACCTAGGATTTTAGATTCTTCCTATTTTTTTAAATTTCCTTTAACAATAATAATATGTTATAGTGGGTAGACACTGCTGGAGTTTTGACCTACCATGGCCTAAAATAAAAGATTCAAGTATATATATTATTAATTAGGTTATTAGATTATGTTTGAAGCCACCAAAGGGTAGCTTTTCATCACATAAATGATTTTGGAAAATTCAGCAATAATTAGGTACACACTAATAAAAACTTCCCCTCCTTGTGAGATGATGAAACTGGCATAACAAAAAGGACTGATTATGTCCACATTTTTATCTGCTGGCAAAAAACAATTTCCACATTTTTATCTATAAAATAAATAATAAATAGTAAAAAAAATTACACTCTCTCCTTTTTGGGTCTAAGTTAATAAAAATTTACATAATCCTTTGAAAAAAAGAGTTTTCGACTTCTAGTTAGTTTATGGGGAATAAATTGCTCTTTACATGCATAATAATGCAAATAAAGGGAAGATTCATCAAAATAAAGTTAATTACTTTTTACCAGAAAAGCATGTAGAAGGAAAGGAAGATAGAAAGTTTTCAAACTTGATGGACAAATTCTTCAGGATTGAACTCAGAAGTGAGCATTCTGGAAAGAACACATCGATTGGGAAAAAGAAGATGAAGAAAAGTTACAGCTTCTTGTATAAAACATTAAAACTTACCAATAAGAATTACAAAAAATAAAACCAATTTAATTACATGGGGCTGGAGCACAGTTATATTATGTAAAATTGAAACCCTTCTTGCAATTTACTGGACCCTGGACAGTAAGAAGCGAGCACACGATTGTAATTGTATCACTGATTCACACAAATTAGTGGCCAAGCGCAGCTATTGAATATTTTAACTATTTATGCTGTGCAGCGAACATGATATAATAATAATGATAATAACTACGATTTATTATTCATGAGAACACGAACAGTTGGCAAATATATACGGAGCATACCAACCGCTGAACACCATTAATACACATTATAAGCACGCCATGAATGGTTGCTGCTGCGTCGGAACCTCCATCTCCGGCCACGCCGTGATGTCGCCGGATTGAGCCCACGATGACCCACTCGGAGAGCTCCAGAAACACCCGCTGTTCATCAGCTCTGGCAATTCAATCTCGCCCCAAAAATCATCTCCCCCGCTGTCGCCGTCTCCGTATCCGTCGGACATGATGCTATTCTTCTTCTTGGAGGCTTTCATTGCATGAGCCGCCTTAGCTGCCGCCTCCTGGATATCTCTCGCGGCACATGTGGACGGCCGCGGCAACAGCTCGACCTCGTCGGGGAAATTGAGCTGCGCTTTCCTGCCTTTCAAGCAGTACGCCGCCACGTCATATGCCCTGGCTGCCATCTCCGGCACCGGAAATGACCCCAGCCATATTCGCGATTTCTTGCGCGGCTCTCGGATTTCCGACACCCATTTTCCCCAACGCCGCTTACGAACACCCCGGTAGACTGGGTGGCGCGTGCCTCCGACTCTTGAGTTATCAGATTTGTCAACTGGCTCGATGGCGGCGGAGGAGACAGCGGCTGTTAGGTCATCGTCGCGAGTGCAGGGAGGTGTTGGCTCCATTCACAGAGTTACAGCGTCAACCGATATTTGCTGAGTATCTTCAACATTTATAATGTGTAGCAGACATTATTACGATGACGATGGATTTGAAATTACGGAACTGTCCCTTTAGTCCTAGACGTCGGAGATTAGTGGAAAGGGGGGGTATTCTTCTTAACAAAAAATAAAAGAATGAGGGACTCTTGGTCATTGAAAATAAAATAAAATAAAATAAGTGTCTCTTAAATGATTTCACCTGAAATTGAAGTGACAATCTAGTAGGGCTTAGCATTGTGTTTCTTTGTGTCTCCTCTTTTTTTAATTGTAATTAATATCACGTTAGTATATTCATAAAGTTAGGAAGAAGTCATGCATGATACAGGAAGCTACCAAATACATCACATTAACGTATAAAAATTAATTCACAAAAAAATGGCATGTAGAAATTAAAAATTAAAACAAAAATTAACCCGCATTGTAGGTAAAAAGATGTGTTGGAAAAAAGGGTTAAAAACACGGCATATGTATTAAAGATATGATCTAATTAATTGTAATTTAAATTGTGTGGTCCTAGAGAACTATTTTTAAATATCAAATAAAACTGAGGGAGGTGCGTGTGTGTGTGTGTGTGTAATATTATTTGAAACATCACATTAAAATTACAGAAGAAATTTAAGCCTTTCGTAAAACAAATAAATCAACTGATGACGACAAAAATAATCGTTAAACGCAAAGTTTATTTGAGTCACGCTGAACACAATATATGACAAGAATCAATTACTGAGACAATGGAAAAGGGCACTACTAATTACTAAAGATAGCATTTTAACTTTTTTTTAATGCTCTATGTAGTAGCATAATTTAAACACAAATATGTTAATATCGAATTTAAACTCGAGACCCTATCTAAATATTGCAAATAACGTTATTATTAGGGCAGCATACTGTTAATACTAATAACAGCTTTAGGTAATAAGGATGAAATGGGGATGAGTAGATATTAAATGTTCTAAACTTTCTTAATGCATTAAAAAATATATGTAGGTATACATATATATTCAAATATTATTTTTTAAAAACTGAAAGAAAATCATTTTAATATATATATAAAACAAGGTTAGCTTTGATAAAATTCAACCATTACTGTGCAAAAGGGATAAAATTACATTAAAAAAGTTGATTTGGTAAGACACGGCAATATTATATTCTACTAATTTGGGTTTAAATTCTTCGAAAGAAAAGGTATATCAAGTTCAAGTGAAAAGATGCGACGTTCAACCACTGTTGACATAATAATGTCAATCGATTAATTATCATTATTGAATTGTATGATTTTAAGAATTTTTTGTTAATATAAGTCATTTTATTAAATAAATTTGATAAGCTATTAAATTTTAACATAAAGTTAATAAATTAATTTTTTATTTTAATAAAACACTCTTCTGATCTTATTTATTAGATAGAAAATAAATTATTTTTCTTTGTCTTGTTTGTAAATTATCTCATTACTATTTTATTTTTCATTTATTATGGCATATATAGTTATTTTCTTGATGAGTATATATATTAAATAGTGGTATAAAAATATGTTAATAGAGAGTTAACAGCGATAAAGTTGAAAAGTTATTATATATTAATAAAGAGTTAATATAACTTAAAATTTTTCTTAATTTATATGAATTTTACTAAAAATGCTCTATAAACAGAACATATATTGGAAAAATTTACAAATGGGACCAAATGAAATGAATGGAGGTTGTCGTACTCTATTCCTAAATCCTTCTTCGGGTCTTTTTTATAAGAGTTTGATAACTAAATTATGTGATTTAATAAAATAGTTAAAATTAGTTAAAAATAATAAATATGTGAAGAATGACTTTTATTTTTTTAAAGTATATCCTCATTTATAAGGGCACAAGTAAGAAAGAGAAATAGAATAATGTTGAGAGAAACTATAAAAAAGAAGGTAATATGTGAAATTGTTAACCCTTCAATAAATGCAATGTATGAAATAAAATTAATTAGAGACAAAAATGGTAAAAACACATTAAATATTCTAACCCTCCAAATAGGCTCTTATAAAAAAGACCAAAATAATTCAAATTTCAGACTCTTATAAAAAAAACCGAAGGGAGTATAAGTCTACTGTAGGAAAAAAATTTATTTTTAAATATAAGTCACTTACAAAGTAATTACTCAGTTTTTCTTTTTTATTTTTGCCCATTTTGACTTAAATATGTGGGATAAAATATAAAACATATTTTTAATACTATTCTTTTAATAAAGACAAAAGATTAAAAAAATTGAAATACAAATAACCTATAAATAACTTAGCCACGTGTCAAATATATAGGACTCAACTCCAGGAATTGGTTGGAGGACAATTACATGGAGGGCCAAAAAAAATAAAAGAACAAAGGAATTTTGATAAACGATGCTGGATGATTTTGACCATTGGATTTAACAAACGAGGGTAAATGTAAGTACGTAATGACAACAGAAAACGTGACAGCTCTTAAAAAATCAACCCGTCCTGAGGGGCGTGGGGTCCACAGCGTGATAGACGCGTGGTGACGTAGCCCCGAACTTTGTCAAAACTGTCTCCAATGGGAACAGAGGTTGGGGATGGATGGTGGATGCGCTGGCATCAAAATGACCAACATGCCCTTCCTTCCGTTTAACCCCCCCTCCCCTCACTCGTCCCCTCTACTTCGCTATCAATCAAATGTCTGTAATCCAAAATCAAAAGACAAAATTGTACTTATAATTTTCCACGTCCGTACAATCCTTTTTTTTTTTTTGAATTTGTTATTTCGGTGTCGTGCGATGCATAAAATTAGGTAAAATGAGTACACTATTATTCTAATTACATTCAAAATATATTTGATATGATATTGCATGTGAGCTACTAATCACATAATAAATTAGTCTAAGTTCTGTACATTTATACATAAACTTGATTGAAAAATAATTTGGTTGTTAAAAAATTAACAATCACGTCAATGAATAATAGATTGATGAGTTGTTTTTCCAAAAGGTTTAGTGGTCTCGGTACTCTTCATCCAATCATATATGCAAGAACAAAAAAAGATGTGGACAATACAATTTAATACGATTGTATTGTTTAATCAAAGTTTTAAAAATATAAAATCTTAGTGGGTAAAAGATTCCTCTAAAGAAGACAAAACCCTACTCACATTTTCTTGGTTTATGCAATTTGAGGGCCTCTCATTTGACCCTACCATTGGGCATTGGCTGAGGAGTTTTCACCAGAAGTTGGAAATTAAGATATTAAACGACTGCTCGAGGGTGAAGAGCATTAAATGAGATGAGCAAAAAATCCAGAAGGTCTTAAAAGGCCTAAACAAAACATGGGGAAGCTTGAGGTGTGTGAGATTGTGGGTAAGCTCACGGGATTAGGGTGAGTGATTTGCCCTTTAACTCCAAATTTCGGTGGGCTTTTTTTCCTGTTGGTGGGTTTGAAAGGGACAACAACGACAAAAAAGGCCCAAGTGTCCTTGTGCCCGTCATGTGTCATCCGACCGACCAATTGGCTTTAGAGCTTCCAGATAGCGAATTGATAAGGACCACTTCTTCTATTCCTCCCACGAAGCATCTTATCCTTCTCTTTTCCCATCACTCAAATCATTTTGCCTCCCATTTAAAACCTCCTTAACAGTTCCACTGAATCTTGTTTAGTTTTAATTATGAGACAGTAAGTTTACAATTAGGTCCTGTTTTATTTGGCAGGAAACATCAAAAATTAGGAATAGATATTGGGATTGAGATTAAGAAAATCTATTAAAAGAGTGTTTAGCATAAGAGATTGCTTTTTATATGGGATTAGTCGGGTGGTATTCCCTAATCCTACATACATGGGTTTGACTAATCACATATAACAAGTAATTATTCATGCTAAATATTATTTTAATTTTTTTTCAATTACAATCCCAAACCCCATTCCTTATTTTCAATACTTCATGTGAAATGAAACCTTAGGTCTTATGTGATACAAAGTATTAAAAATAAGGGGTAGGAATTGAGATTGGTATTGAGGGAATTCATTAAAGAAATGTTTAGTATGAGAAATTTCTTGTTACGTGAGATTAGACAAAAGTTATGTTTGTGGGATTGGGAAATACCACATCTGTGGGTTTGCCTAATCCCATATAATAAGCAATTACCTATACTGAATTTTATTTTAATAATTTTTCTTAATTGTAATTTCAGTCCCTATCCCTCATTTTTAATGTTTCATACCAAATAGGATTTTAGCATTTTTTAACTATGGTTTCTCTCGTCTATTCTTTCCACCCACTTCCTTTTCATCATCCAATTTTACTGTTAGATTGAAATCTGAGAGATCTAAATTTAATTTTTTTTTTAATTTATCTCTTGTTTTCAAGATAAAGTCGTGGACCTTTTAGAAATAAATAAGTATATAATTTTAACAAACGAAAACACACACACACACACACATATAATATTCCATCACAACTTGATCAAATGCTATGATATATTTCAAATAGTGCCATCTTCCTAAACAACGGCAAACAGATAAAAATCATTAGCAGTGCATTAATGAAAAAGTTTAATATTTTAGAATAGACTAACAACTGTTTGTTAGGTGCGTGCATTTAAACAAGTAATTATCGATGGAACTCCATCATCAAACTCATATATCTGTCTTTAAAGTATTGTCCGTTCAATTTTCACTTAAAAACATTCCCTTATGTTGTTTTCTAATGTTTTCTACACACCCAAGCACAACATTCCAAACTTGTTTCCAAAAGAACACACATTCTTGTACTCCCAAATGTTCTATTGATTGAAATCAGTTTATTATAAGATGGTGAAAACGAAAGAGTGCTCCATTCAATCAGTTTATTACTTTTTTCATATATTTTTTGAAGACCCATTAACCAATATTATTGTAGAAGATATATATCTCAACTTTTAATTGAATCATTTCTTATATAATGATAGGAAAACTAGCTAGTATTTTGTATGGATGCTAAGACGTTTTATAT